ATTATTGTAATGAGTGTGGAAAGAAGGTGAAACGGAGGAGCCATTTTCCATCTCCAGGTCTTCCAGATATGAAACCAAATTACGCTCCGCCTGGAGAATCCAATTACATTCACTCGATGTAATTTCATCGATTTTATGGAAGCTCGTAAGTGACTATTTATCACGGAAGGTTAACGACGACGTCAAGTTTCATTCTTCGGAGTTAGTGCCGTCTGAAATTTTTATACGATCATGTAAGGAATTGAGAGATCATGTGACGAGTTAGGAAACGACCGCTCGATAGATATGTCGAACTTCATAATGGCCGATAAGTACGTCACGTCGTACGTAATGCCATCCTGTTAAGTTAAAAAGTTAAGTGAAGATAAGGAACCTTGTTTCGTCTACTAAATTATTATACTCTCATATCTGGTGCAAATAAATCCTGCACTGATTAAGTAAACGATCATTCGATGGACATGTCACACTTTACAATAACTTTCAAGTACATCACGTCGTTGTACGTAAAGTTAAGTGAAAATGAGGAACTTCGTTTATTATGTTAAATTATTATACGCTCATATCTGGTGCAAAGAAATCCTGCATTGATTAACTAAATAACCACTCAATGGATATGTCAAACTTTATAATAACTTTTACGTACATCACGTCGTACGCAATGCTACGTACGTAAAGTTAATTGAAAAAGAGGAACTTCGTTTCTTCAATTAAATTATTATACGTTCATATCTGGTGCAAAAAATCCTGCACTGAATAAGTAAACGATCATTCGATCGATATGTCACACTTTACAATAACTTTTAAGTACATCACGTCGTACGTAATGCTACGTACGTAAAGTTAAGTGAAAATGACGATCTTCGTTTATTATATTAAATTATTATACACTAATATCTGGTGCAAATAAATCCTGCACTGATTAAGTAAATGATCACTCGATGGATATGTCAAACTTTATAATAACTTTTAAGTACATCACGTCGTACGTAATGCTACGTACGTAAAGTTAAGTAAAAATGAGGAACTTCTTTTCTTCTATCAAATTTTTATACGCTAATATATGGTACAAAGAAATCCTGCACCGATTAAGTAAATGATCACTCGATGGACATGTCACACTTTATAAGAACTTTTAAGTACATCACGTCGTACGTAATGCTACGTATGTAAAGTTAAGTGAAAACGAGGAACTTCGTTTATTGTATTAAATTATTATACGCTAATTTCTGGTGCAAAGAAATCCTGCACTGATTAACTAAACGACCACACGATGGATACATCAAACTTTATAATAACTTTTAAGTACATTATATCGTTGGATCGACGGATTTGAGGAGGGTTTCACTTCGCCTTAAGATCTAGAAATTTGATCGACGTCGGTAAAAACGATCGTTTTCAATACCTATTTTTCCAACGATCGTATTTATATTGACAACTGTCAAAGTTTCCGACAGTTCGATAAAATACCCTTAAAAAAAAAAGTGTCTTATTCGAATCGACGGATTTGAGGGAGGTTTCACTTCACCTTAACTCCTCAGATGCCACTTTTCTAATACCTTAATCGATTAAGGTGATGTGAAAGTGGCGTCGAAGATGTTTCGTTTATAAAACTTTTCTCCCACCTCGGTTTATCGAATAGTTTGAAACTTTACAACGTGAATAGGGAGACTATAAGGAAGGTCCTGAAACTCAGGAAATTTCCATTCTCTTCAAATTTGTTTATAGGTATTTTAAAAATAGTTTATAAAAAATGAAATTTCGCTAGTTTCAGAACCTACCTTAGGGTCTCGATATTCACGTTTTAAAGTATGAAACGATTTGAGACACCCAGTTCCGAGAAAAGTTTTATGAACGATTGAGCTTTCGGATGCCACTTTCACATCCCCTTAACTCCTTAGATGCCACTTTCCTAACCCTTTTAATCGGATATCGACATCGGGGAAAAATTGGAAGGACAGGGAAGACTTAGATGAAGAATTTGCGATCGGGCACAAGCACCCAGGGCACGCAGATACGTGCGGAAGTGCATTGGACACGGTAGTCCGTCACGTGGTACACGCAATAGACGTTATCGCACGCTACGTGGTCGAGAGAAATGAAACAAGATAAAAAAGCAGCGCGGGGAGGGAAAGAGCTCGGAGGAGGGGTGCAGCAAATAATGTTTCTCCGTTACGACCGAACTCGAGGGGACCACGTACCGAGAGATAGGGGGAGTCTTGAAATTTATCAAATTCTTTTTCATCCACTCTCACCATATATACTTGTCCTTTATCGGTATAGCTCCTTTATCCATTACCAAAGTATCTTTTTAATTTTAAGAGCGATCAATATTTTTGGGAGTTTATTAAGTCGTTCGTCCTTTATTCGTTACTAAATTAGACTTTGTTAATTTTTTTCATCAGTTTTCAGAACATTGTTAATAATAATGTCCTTTATCGGGATAGTTTCTTTATTCGTTACCGAATATTTTTAGAACATTGTTGATATAAATGTTCATTATCGAGGTAGTTTCTTTATTCGTTACCGAATTAGGCTTTTTGTTCATTTTTAGGACGAGCAATATTTTCAGAACATTGTTGATATAAATGTCCTTTATCGGTATAGTTTTCTTATTCGTTATCGGATAGAGACTTTTTCTTAATTTTTAGGGCGATCAATATTTGTAGAACATTGTTGATACAAATGTCCTTTATCGGTATAGTTTCTTTATTCGTTACCGAATTAGACTTTTTGTTAATTGTTAGGGCGATCAATATTTTCAGAACATTGTTGATACAAATGTCCTTTATCGGTATAGTTTCATTATTCGATACCGAATATTTTTAGAACATTGTTCATACAAATGTCCTTTATCGGTGTAGTTCCTTTATTCGTTACCAAATTAGGCTTTTCGTTCATCTTTAGGGCGATCAATATTTACGGAACACTGTTGATATAAATATCCTGTATTGGGATAGTTTCTTTATCCGTTACCTAATTAGACTTTTTGTTGATTGTTAGGGCGATCAATATTTTCAGAACATTGTTGATAACAATGTCCTTTATCGGGATAGTTTCTTTATTCGTTACCAAATTACGTTTTTTTTTGTAATTCTAAGGCGATCATTATTTTCTTCGGACTTTGTTGATCGGTGGGGCAAAAGATATGGTGCTAATTGCACGGTGGTCGTTGCTTTCATGAGCGAAAGAAAATGAATCATACTTTTCTTTATCAGTCTTGGTTTCCTTGGGGTCTTCACCAAGGCTTTCCGCGGATGTCGGAAGTCTCTTATCATTTTTAACCAGCTTAATTCGATTTCATCGAAGATTGATGCTGGCAGCTTTTAAGGCCTTAAGAGACTTACAGGGGCTTTCGCTTCGTTTAAGTAATCCGAGTATTATCCGTTAGCTTTAATGATATCGGAAAATGGCCGAGGAAGGCATTTTGGGTTTTGAGGGGATCAGGGTCCTAATCGTCGAAAGTTTCTCTCAACCGTGACCGACAAATGGATTGGCTATCATTTAAGGTGATATGAAAGTGCGATATATACGTACCAAAAAGTCAACATATTTATGCAACTTTTCTCCAAACTGGGTGCACCGAATTATCGGAAACCTTCACATGGGATTATGGAGGCTCAAAGTTTCAGACAGTTTAGTCTAATAACCTTAAAAAAAGTGTCCTGTTGATGAATTGACGGATTTGAGGGGTGTTTCACTTCGCCTTAAGTTCGAGAAATTTCAATGACGTCAGTGAAAACGATCCTTCTAAACACCTGTGTTAACGACGTTCCTATTTATATTGACACCTGTCAAAGTTACCGACGTTCTTATTTATATTGACACCTGTCAAAGTTACCAACGTTCTTATTTATATTGACACCTGTCAAAGTTTCCGACAGTTCGGTCCAATATCCTTAAAAAAAGTGTCTCATTCGAATTGACGGACGAGGGGGGTTTCACTTCGCCTTAAGTTCGAGAAATTTCAATGACGTCGGTAAAAACGATCCTTCTAAACACCTGTGTTAACGACGTTCCTATTTATATTGACACCTGTCAAAGTTACCGACGTTCGTATTTATATTGACAACTGTCAAAGTTTCCGACAGTTCGATATAATACTCTTAAAAAAAGTGTCCCGTTCGAATTGATGGATTTGAGGGGAGTTTCACTTCGCCTTAAGGTCGAGGAATTTCAATGAAGTCGGTAAAAACGATCCTTCTAAACACCTGTGTTAACAAAGTTCCTATTTATATTGACAACTGTCAAAGTTTCAGACAGTGTAGTCTAATAACCTTAAAAAAAGGGTCCTGTTCAAATTGACGGATTTGAGGGAGGTTTCACTTCGCCTTAAGATCGAGAAATTTGATCGACGTTGGTAAAATCGATCCTTCTAAATATATACGTTGCCGACGTTTGTAGTTACATTGACACCTGTCAATGTTTCCGACAATTCGATACAATATCCTTAAAAAATAGTGTCTTATTCTAATCAACGGATTTGAGGGAGGTTTCACTTCATCTTAAGGTTGAGAAATTTAATCGACGCTGATAAAAACGATCCTTCTTGGTACTTACTTTACCAATGTTTGTATTTATATTGACAACTGTCAATTTTTCCGATAGTTCGACACAATATCCTTAAAAAAAAGTGTCTTATTCTAATTGACGAATATGAGGGAGGTTTCACTTCGCCTTAAAGTCGAGAAATTTGATCGATGTTGGTAAAATCGATCCATGTAAATACCTACGTTGTCGACGTTCGTATTTATATTGACAACTGTCAAACTCGACATGCCTTACTTTGGATGGTGGTTTCACCCCCTTAAAGTGTTTAATGGCAGATAAAAAAAATACGTGTCGCTTTGTTTTTAGTCTACTATAACATATTATGAAAGAAATGAAATCGGAGAGATCGACCTGGGATACCTTCCTTGTAAGTGCACTCCGTGATCTCAAGTTTGGCATTATGGGGTAAATACACAATCGCTTAAGTCGATATTGTCTCTTGTGTGTTGCAGACATTCAGGCATGGATTTCCACATCAGCCTACAGCTATGGCGTTCGACCCGGTTCAAAGGCTCCTGGCCATCGGCACCAGATCCGGATCCCTCAGGATGTATCCTTTTTCGCGATCTCGCGGGACTCGTTCGTCTTCTGAATTCACTGGAAAAGGGGGAAAAGAGGGATCGGAAGGAAGATCATCGCGAAAAGATACGCTGGAACCCTCTTCTGCGAAATGGCTGATGAATGAGGTGGTCCCGCTTCTTGAGACAAATTTTATTATATCCATCATGCCCCACTCTTTGCGATACATCGACCTCGCTTATGTAAAAAGTATTCAATATATTCGTACAAATTTTTCTTCCGCTTGGAGCTTAAGGTGATATGAAAGGGTCATTCTATATATATATATATATATGAAACATCAAAATATTTGTCAAACTTTTGTCCAAACTTGGTGCACCGAATTGTTTGAAATTGTAACACGTGATTATGGAGGCTCTGAATAAAAAAATGAAATCTCACGAGCATCACGTTCTTTCTTAGAGCCTATATAATGAAGTGTTAAAGTTTCAAACGATTCGGTGCACCCGGTTTGGAGAAGAGTTTTATAAATATTTTTACGTTTTGATATATAGAATATATAGAATTTGATATATAAAATTTCATATCACCTTAAGGTGGCATCAAAGAGGTATCGTTTATGAAACTTTTTTCAAAAGTGCGTGTACCGAATCGTCTCAAATTTGACAACGTGAATATGAAGGCTGTAAGGAAGGTTTTGAAATCCATGAAATTTCAATTTTAAGAGAATTTCTTTACAGCCATTTGCAACAATTATAATAACAAATGAAATTTCACGAGTTCAAGACCTATCTTAGGGTCTCCTTATTCACGTGGTAAAATTTGAAATAAATCGGTATACCCAATTCGGAGAAAAGTTTCATGAACGATTGACCCATAAGATGCCACTTTCACATCTCCTTAATGTTCTGATCTTGTAGAAATTCGAATCGACTAATTTGAGGGGGGTTTTTCGCTTTATCTTAATTCCGCGATATTCATCCCAAATGTCCGTAATCAAACATCGTTTCAATAACAAATGAAATTTTTCAAGTTTCAAGACCCACCTTACGGTTTCCTTGTTCACATGGTAAAATTTGAAACAAATTGGTACACCAAATTCGGGGATAAGTTTCATGAACAATCGACCCATAAGATGCCACTTTCACATCCCCTTAATGTTCTAATCTTTTAGAAATTCAAATAGATTAATGTGAAGGGGGTTATTCGCTTTATCTTAATTCCGCGATATTCATCCCAAATGTCCGTTATCAAACATCGATTTCACGGCCGATGTCTCGTCCACCGTCGTTAATTAGCATTACTCTGATTTATCGTAATTATTGACGAAGGCCCGAAGGCCAACGTGATGACCTTTCCTATCATCAGTCTTTCATGAAGCTTTCCACTCGGTTTATTCGGATGAAGCCGGGTCAAGTTTACAGCTGGTCTCGTTTGGCTGCGGTCGATAGCTAAGAAAACATCTATCGTTATCCTTAATGAAACATGTTACGCCAGTTTGGGGACACCGGGGGTGGATGCCCACGTGAGACACGAAGGTGGCTCGGCTGTGATCCAGTTGCAGTTCCTAATTAACGAAGGTGCCCTGGTCTCCGCAACCGCGGACGACACTTTACACCTGTGGAACTTTCGCCAGAAGATACCGCAAATTGTCCAGAGCCTCAAGTTCCAGCGAGAAAGGTTTGTCCCGATATTAATTTTGTACATACATGCGTCAGGTAGAAGAACTTAATTTCGATTTTTTTGCACAACCCCTAAAGTAGTAGGACAACCCCTCTTATGTCATGTGTGTACAGTAGGCACCACCACGTCAGAAAAATGATATGAATCCTATTGGAGAATTAGGTGCTTATTAGGTGCTATTTTAGTGCTACAACCCTAATTTTAGTGCTCCACCTCATATCCCAAAAATCGGTGGTGGTGCTTCTTATTCGCCCCAGCATGGTCACGTAAGAAATGAGAGAATCGAACTATTTCTTCGCGTGGGAATTAATTGCTAATTAATTTTTTCGAGAAGAACCAATATCTTCGTAAAAATATAATTTTCAAACGTACATTAATTAGCGATTAATTCCCACGTGAAGAGGTAGTTCGATTCTCCCATGTTTTTCATGTTTCTGTCTTGCGATCATCACTAGGGGTAGCGATTCACCCCTTTAGGGGTGAGCCAAAAAATTGAAATTTGGTTTTTCTGCGAGCCATTAATTAGCAATAAATTCTGGTATATAATTCATCGATGGACATTTACTTAATAATTATCTCTTCACGTGGGAATTAATCGCTAATTAATGTAGGTTTGAAAATTGTATTTTTGCGAAGATATTGGTTCTTCTCGAAGCAATTAATTAGCAATTAATTCCCACGTGAAGAAATAGTTCGATTCTGCCATGTTTTTCATGTTTCTGTCCTGTGATCAGCACTAGGGGTGGCGATTCACCCCTTTATTAGGGGTGAGCCAAAAAATTGAAATTTGTTTTTTCTGCGAGCAATTAATTAGCAATAAATTCCGGTATATAATTCATCGATGGACATTTACTTAATAATTGTTTCTTATTGTGGCAGTGCTAGCTTTATATAAAGCTGACATCGCCATTTTTCCGAAAAATGTAAGAGCAAACCATTTTTTTCTTGTGCAATAAAATAGCAATAAATTAGCGATAAATTTTGCAACAAACTTTATTGAATTGTGCTAAAGTAGCAATTCCAGCTTTATATACATGTGTGCATGTTGCGCACACGCGTTAGCGGTAAAGTTAAAAAAGGTATGACGGTAAAGAATAGGGACGGTCAACCCGAGAAAATTCTAAAGAACCCCAAACCTTCGCGATGGGACGTATAATACAATAATAACCGTGATATAACCGTGTCGTAGAAAACTAAAATTTACGAACGGATTTCGGAGTCAGAAAATTGCTAAATCGATGAATGGCCCGATGGGCCCGAGCAGGCAGTAAGTCCCTTTCTGGAAGTTTGTCTGACATTTCAAAAGCCGCGATGAATTTAACTACGCGAATGTCCCGCACGGAACAACGTCCTTAGTAAAGTAATCGGGATTTGTCGGCAAACTAATTGATTAGAGGCTCATCCGAGAAGGATAATTTTGACTCGGGTGCTTTGACAAGATCAACCATACGTCCAGGCAAACTTGTCCTCGATGATGGAACCGGAAAACGTTCATAATTTTGACTCGGGTGCTTTGACAAGATCAACCATACGTCCAGGCCAGGCAAACTTGTCCTCGATGATGGAACCGGAAAACGTTCCTCGGGAACGAACGAGGCTTCTGCGGAGTGCAGATTCCGGAACGGCAAATCCGGATCGGGTCGACCGGACGATTTGGGTGGTTTCGACGTTATTTCGACAAATGACATCTCCCCCGGGGCTGTTATTAAATCCTGCGCTCTAGGCGCGTGCAAAATCACCGGGCAGAGCGTGCTTATCGATCTGGGGGAAATTAATTTCGTTAACTCGAAACGGGGGAGGAAATTTGCGGGGCCCGCCGGCGAGGTCGCCGAGGCCGGGGTTATTCAGGGCGGAACGACTTTATTTTCCGTAGCGACGTTCTAACAGGGCGTTCCCTCTGTTCCGCAGGATAACGTGTATGCACCTACCCCTACAAAGCAAATGGCTCTACGTCGGCACCGAGCGGGGCAACATCCACGTATTGCACATCGAAACGTTCGTTTTGTCGGGCTACGTGATCAACTGGAACAAGGCCATCGAAGTGTAAGTATTACAAATCAATGGTGTCTTTGGTGGAGGCGTAGGTGGCGCCAGACTCGACAAGTACTGAACTACGGGTATCGCGAACTGGGACTACTTGAACACCTTTTTCGCATTTTCATGATTGATCAATCTGAAATTAATTGGTATTTCCATGGTATTCAAGTTTACTTGGTCGACATTACCAAATCAATGGTGTCTGGTAGAGGCGTAGGTGGCGCCAGACTCGACAAGTACTGAACTACGGGTATCGCGAACTAGGGCTACTTGAACACCTTTTTCGCATTTTCATGATTGATCAATCAGAAATTAATTGGTATTTCCATGGTATTCAAGTTTACTTGGTCGACAGTACCAAATCAATGGTGTCTTTGGTAGAGGCGTAGGTGGCGCCGGACTCGACAAGTACTGAATTACGGGTATCACGAACTGGGACTACTTGAACACCTTTTTCGCATTTTCATGATTGATCAATCTGAAATTAATTGGTATTTCCATGGTATTCAAGTTTACTTGGTCGACAGTACCAAATCAATGGTGTCTTTGGTAGAGGCGTAGGTGGCGCCAGACTTGACAAGTACTGAACTACGGGTATCGCGAACTGGGACTACTTGAACAGCTTTTTCGCATTTTCATGATTAATCAATCTGAATGTAAACGATATTTTCATAGTATTCGAATTTGTTAGTCCGACAGTCCCAAGATATTAAATATAACATGTGCTAAAAGGGTGCAAGTTAAAATAATATAGAAGAGTAAAATAAAGGCAGACTCGCGAGATTCTGAACGTAGCTACAAGTATCGCGAAATGGGATTGCTTGAACACCTATTTCCCGTTTTCATGATTCATCAATCTGAAATTAATCGATATTTTCATTGTATTCAAGTTTACTTGGTCGACAGTACCAAGATATTAAACATGACATGTATGGAAAGGTGAATGTTAAAAGAAAAAGGAAGAGTACAGTAAAACAAAGGTAGACTCGCGAGGTTCTGAACGTAGCTACAGGTATCGCGAACTGGGACTACTTCAACACATTTTTCGCATTTTCATGATTGATCAATCTGAAATTAGTCGATATTCCCATGGTATTCAAGTTTATTTGGTCGACGGTCCCAAGATATTAAACATAATATGTGCAGAAGGGTGCAGGTTCAAATAATATAGAAGAGCAAAATAATATAAAGGTTCGCGAGATCTGAACGTAGCTACAAGTATCGCGAAATGGGATTGCTTGAACACCTTTTTCGCATTTTCATGATTGATCAATCTGAAATTACTCGATATTCCCATGGTATTCAAGTTTATTAGTCCGACAGTACCAAGATATAAACATAACATGTGCAAAAAGGGTGAATGTTAGTATTATAAGAAAGAGCAAAGTAATATAAAGATAAACTCGCGAGGTTCTGAACGTAGCTACATGTATCGCGAACTGGGACTACTTGAACACATTTTTCGCATTTTCATGATTGATCAATCTGAATTTACTCGATATCCCCATGGTATTCAAGTTTATTAGTCCGACAGTACCAAGATATAAACATGACACGTGCAAAAAGGGTGAATGTTAGTATTATAAGAAAGAGCAAAGTAATATAAAGATAGACTCGCGAGGTTCTGAACGTTGTTCATATGCCTCAGAAACCAGAAAACAGATCCATAGGTATCGCGAACTGGGATTGCTTGAACACCATTTTCACATTTTTACGACTGACAATGCTAAAAGTAATCAAAACGTTGATTTTACAAAAAGAAATTTACAAGTCCTCCAAAACCAAGATATTGTACGTAACACGTGTAAAAAGTGTAACCGTCGAAATAACTAGATCTGCGATATCAAGATATTGGATTTAACTTGTGCAAAAAGCCTGAATGTTAAATTAAAGGGGAGAATAAAATAAAATATTAGGGCGGGCAGAGTGTCTTGAGGTTCGAGTAGCCTCAGATTACGGGGGCAAATGCGGCGAAGAAGAGGTCTTCATGGATCGGGAAGCGGCTTGTCTAGGGCGGGAAATAATTCACGGGGAAAATGGGATGGCCCGGCAACTCGGCGCGTCCACTTTATCCTACCAAGTTCGACGAGAGACCGAAAACCCTTTCGAAGTTATCGGCAATTCCTCGTCGCTCCGGGGCCGGGGCGATTTCGGTCGCCGAGAAGGAGCCAGACGACGCCGGGGGCGAGGAAAAAGTCCGATTTAAGTTCACGGAATTACATAGCTCGCCAAAAAAGCTGCCACGTCTGAAAATCCAAGTTTTGCGTACCTGATAACCGCATATATCGTTTAGCACAACGAAAGGAGACCAGGGCTTGTATTCGTGTCTTACTTCTGGTATTAACCCTTTGAACACGGAGCCCATTTCGACATATGAAGAAAGAAAATAGAAAATATAATTTAATAATGTAATTTTGGATGAAAAGTTTCAAAGCACGGGTATATCCAAGGTCCTACGTAACATATCTTACATTGGTAATGCGTTCTTACATTGGTAATGCGTTCTTACATTGGTAATGCGTTCTTACATTGGTAATGCGGATGAAAAGTTTCAAAGCACGGGTATACCCAAGGTCCTACGTAACGTATCTTACATTGGTAATGCGTTCGTCGTTGCACCCCATTTTTAATATTAACAATACCCTTTCTCAATCCGCTTTTTGGTTTTGTTTTCGCGCTAGGGTAAATCGTCGGGAAAGGTCTATCAGTAAGCCTAAAAGGACGTTTATCCCCAGATCTAGGAGCGCTTTGTCTATAATGGTCATTATGGTATTTCCGTAATTCGTCTTATTAATTCGAGATGAAATATCATTGTGTGTTTCGTATTTATATAAACAATAAGATTTCCAAACGGCAATATCTAACAAATGGAAAGAATACTTCTTAGGGAGCTTCAGGCGTTGGGTGACTATAGTCATCGTTACTAGCGAAAGGGTTAAGGGGATGTGAAAGTGGCATCCGAAAGCTCAATCGTTCATAAAACTTTTCTCCGAACTGGGTGTCCGAAATCGTTTCATACCTTAAAACGTGAATATGGAGACCCTAAGCTACGTCCTGAAACTCGCGAGATTTAATTTCTTATAAACTATTTTCAAAATACCTATAAACAAATTTGAAAAGAATTGAAATTTCATGAGTTTCAGGACCTTCCTAATAGTCTCCCTATTCACGTTGTAAAGTTTCAAACCATTCGATAAATCGCGTTGGGAGAAAAGTTTTATAAACAAAACCTCTTAGATGCCACTTTCATATCACCTTAGATGCACGGATTACAGATCGCGACAATTTATCGTCAGACCTTTAATTTAGGGAAGAAGGGTGCTTGGGGCGTGCAATACATTGCAATATGTTAATATATTTTTCTACGTCATTTTCTCTTTTTGAAGAATCGCATGTCTGTTGGCGAGGACAAAACCTCTTAGATGCCACTTTCGCATCACCTTAGATGCACAGATTACAGATTGCCAATTATCATTAGACGTTTATTTTAGGGAAGAAGCTTGCTTAGGGCGTGCAATACATTGCAATATGTTAATATATTTTTCTACGTCATTTTCTCTTTTTGAAGAATCGCATGTCTGTTGGCGAGGACAAAACCTCTTAGATGCCACTTTCACATCACCTTAGATGCACAGATTACAGATCGCCATTTATCATTAGACGTTTATTTTAGGGAAGAAGCGTGCTTGGGGCGTGCAATACATTGCAATATATTAATATATTTTTCTACGTCATTTTCTCTTTTTGAAGTATCGCATGTCTGTTGGCAAGGATGCGTTTCTGGGCACGGAGCCCGAGATGTGTCCCGTCGAAGCTTCTTCAGGGAACGAATGACGGAAGTCTCCGTGGTAATGGCCCGGGGACGGTCGTTACTTAGCGTGAGGAATTTATTATGGACAAGGTTTTACCTCTGGGACGAGTTAATCTATCGACTTTAGCAGCGGGGGCCTCCCAAGTCCGCAAACATGGCCGCGGCTCGTGTGTTGGACACCTGAATCAGGGCCAACGGCGGGCTTAATATTTCATTATCGTGCCGCTGCAGAGGTAACAAGCATTGACGAGGGTATCGAAAAGACCTAGATCGGGGCCTGCCTCGAGCTTTGTGTTTTTAATATTACAAAGTCGCTGGGAAGAAAGAAAGAAAGAGAAAAAAATTCTAACTCGTCTTTCGGGCCCCTGAGTCTGCATTAGGTCCGATTTTTTCGTTACCGCGATTACCTAAGACAGGGTTTATACATGTATATAAAGCTGGAATTGCCACTTTAGCACAATTCAATAAAATTTGTTGCAAAATTTATTGCTAATTCATTGTTATTTTATTGCACAAGAAAACAATTTGTTGTTCCTATACTTTTCCGAAAAATGGTGGCGATGTCAGCTTTATATAAAGCTAGCACTGCCACAATAATAAACAATTATTAAGTAAATGTTCATCGACGAATTATATGCAAGAATTTATTGCTAATTAATTGCTCGCGGAAAAAGCAAATTTCAATTTTTTTGCTCACCCCCTAAAGGGGTGAATCGCCAACCCTAGTGCTGATCGCAGGAGAGAAAGATGAAAAACATGGGAGAATCGAATTATTTCTTCACATGGAAATTAATTGCTCCGAGAAGAACCAATATCTTTGTAAAAATACAATTTTCAAACCTACATTAATTAGCGATTAATTCCCACGTGAACAAATAGTTCGAGTCTTCCATGTTTTTCATGTTTCTGTCCTGCGATCATCCCTAGAGGTGGCGACTCACCCCTTTAGGGGTGAGCAAAAAAATTGAAATTTGGTTGTTCTGCGAGCAATTAATTAGCAATAAATTCTGGTATATAATTCATCGATGAATATTTACTTAATAATTGTTTTTTATTGTGGCAGTGTTAGGTTTATAGAAAGCTGACATCGCCATCATNTTCAAGAAATATTTAGATATTATTCTATGCTACTAGGGGATCTTATTAACCGCCGATTGAAATGCCGATTTTATTTCACTTCGATAATGAACGGAGA